GAAAATCACTCTGGTGGCTGCATGAAGGATGGGACTGGAGTGGCGAGAGACTTGAGGGAGACAGTACTGTGACAGCCCAGCTGTGAGGTGATGAAGGCCTACACCAGAGACTGGTGACGTGTGGGGGATATGAGGGAGGGAGAATTGGAGAGAGGTTGCAAAGATGAAATTGACAGACCTTGGCAACAGATTGGATTTTGGGGGTCTGGGGGGAGATAAATGAGGAGTGGAGAACACCACCTAGGTTATGAGCCTGAGGAAACTGAGGCAGAAAGAGGTTCCAGGGTTAACAAGCTAATAAGTGCCTAAGGCTGAATTTGAACTGGGGTATTCCTGATGCCAGACCCAGAACTTTACTCAGTGTGCTACCAGCTGCTTCTAAACCCATACAGGTGTGGACAGGTGTGGATTTGCACCAATAGAGAGAGTAATTGAGTTGATGGACCACAGATCTATTAAAATATATTTGCCAATAGTCCAATGCCTTCTTTTGACTCAAGTATATAGAAAACTCAAAGAAATGAACATCTTATCACATAACAGAACCATATTGCAGTCTACCTTATTTCACCCATCCCTACACTAAGTCTCCTGGGGCCACAAAGCCAAGTTCTTAACCCACACAATCACTTTAATCAAAAGCAATTCACTTACTTCCCTTAAATAGTGGGTGCTACCACAAACTTTTTTTTTAACCTCTGTATCTGTGTTTACTAACATAACCTTACTGCCATACTAGATACTTAACCGGTGTGGGAAAAAAAGAGGTGCGTCCAAAGTTGCATCCAATTTCTGGCTAAGTAATGTTACCTATCATTAGTACTGCAAAAAAGAGCCAGATATATATTTCTTATCACAAACATATTTTTAGGATTTTGTTCAAGGCAATGAAGTACATCACAGATAACAACACAGAGCAATGTGGGGTTTCCTACTTTTCTCCAAACAAATGGAACAGTTTCCAAAAGTTGACACGTATCATGACAGATAGGTAACTTTCAATAACCACCACATTTAGTTCTCTCTTTGCATTCAGTTGAAAATGGGTCAGTAATATTTCCTAAACACATCTCACCGGAATATGTTTCCTCATTTTTATCAAAGAATTACATTTCAATAAAAAAACTTAATGTTTTGAAGAGAATGTGAGAACTATTCCCCACAGAGAGTTTTCTAGAGCTATCTGAGATGTCTAGGTGAACCAAAAATGGGGGGGGGGGAGGTACAGTCCAGACTAAAAAATTTACATTTCTTAACTCCTCCGTGACAAAGTACAAATAACCAGAATCACACCAATAATTCTGAACTAAGAAGCTTACTGAGCGTAACCAAAAAACAAGAGATGGGAACAATTAACAAGATATGCTTGAAAGGCATTAATAACTTCAATTACACTGAACAAGCATTTTGCCCACTACACAAGGCACTCTGTAAGATGCCTTGGAAATCCAAAGCTTCACAGTTCCTGCCTTCAAGAACGGGAGGAGGGGCAGCTAAGTGGCGCAGTGGATAGAACACCAGCCCTGGATTCAGGAGGACCTGAGTTCAAATCCGGCCTCGGACACATAACACTTACTAGCTGTGTGACCTTGGGCAAGTCACTTAACCTCATTGCCTGCCCCCCCCCCCAAAAAAAGGGAGGAAACAGGGTAGCTAGGCGGTGTAGTGGATAGAGCTCTGGTCTTAGAGTCAGGAGAACCTGAGTTCAAATTCAGCCTCGGACACATAACACTCACTAGCTGTGTGACTCTGGGCAAGTCACTTAACCCCAACTGCCAAACCAAAAAAACAAAACAAAAAGAGAATGGGAGGGAAGGGGAAATAAGATATATACACAAATAAATATAAAACAATTCAGAAGAAACCTAACATACCCATCTGATTACCAAAGTGAACATAAAAGGAAAATGATAAATGTTAAGAGAAGCTGCATAAAAACAGGCAAATTAATGAATTGTGTTGACCCAATTATATCACTATTAGACCCATCAGATCAGAATCACGCTTTAGAAAGGTTAGCATGTAGAATGGATCATGGGGCAAGTTTTTGGGAGTCAAGAAGACCAGTTAAGATACTGATACCCAAAGAGATCAAAGACGACAAAAAGAACTCAAATATACAAAAATATTTTTATAGAAGTTTTTTTTGTGGTAGCAAAGAATTGAAAACTAATGGGCTGTCCATTATTTGTGGAATGGCTGAACAAATTATGGTATATGAATATAATTGAATACTATTAAACCATAAGAAATTATGACAGAGTCTCAGAGAAATCTGGGGAAGACTTGTGTAAATTAATGAAGAGTAAAGCAAGTAGAACCAAATAAACAATTTATATAAAAACAACATGGTAAAGACAAACCACTTTGAAAAACTGATCAATGTAATGACCCAATATTGGTCCAAAAGACTAATGATGATACCTTTTTTCCATCTCCTGACAGAGATAATGGACTCTTAGATGCAGAAACATCTATTTTTATTTGTGGCCAATGTGAAAATTTGTTTTGCTTAAATATGAATATTTGCTATAAAATTTGCTATAAGAATTTTGATTTTTTTTTCCCCTAAGGGTGGGGAGGGGGAAAGGGGAATGAGAGAATTGAGAAAATAAATGTTTTATTAACTGAAAAAATTTTAAAGGAGAAAAAAAGTGTTGAGAAAAGTCATGGCTTAACCATGGCTGGTACAAAAAAGGCTTTATAGAGGAAGTGGCATCTGAACTGAAAAAGTAGATAGACGGTTGAGACAATATCAAAGTAGAGGAAAAAAGACAATCCAGACAGAGGAAGAAGCACACATAAACAAAGAAAGACAGAACAATGCAAGCATGCTCAAGAAAGGGTATTATTTGGCTAGCATACATGTTATATGTGTTTAAGAAAATAATGGAAGATAAAGAAGTCAACCGGAATAAGAGACAGTTGGTAGAGAGCCTAGAATGTAATACTAAAGAGTCTGGACTTGATTCTACAAGGATGGGAAGTGATTGAAGGTTTTTGACCAAAGGAGTAACATGATCAGAACCACGCTTTAGAAAGGTTAGCATGTGGAATGGATCATGGGGCAAGTTTTGGGGAGTCAAGAAGACCAGTTAAGATACTGATACAATTGCAAGAGATTAGTATAAAACTCAATTAAGATATCATTGAGAATGGAAAGGCAGAAAGAGATGTTTCATTGGCAAAACAGGATGGAGAAGTGGTGGTGCCATTAACAAACAGAGGAATTCAGGGCAGGTTTATAGAGGCAAGGAAAAAGGACAAGCTGTCTTTGAATAATGCTGAGATGCCCACAGGCTATTTCTACCTGGCTGTCTTGCTAACCACCAGAAATGCAAATGTGAACATCAGGATGAAGGATTAATATTTAGAGCTATCAATTTAGGAGTCACGTCTATAATCAATAGCTGAGTAGACCTATTTGTCTAGGAGGAAAAAGTAAAGAGATGAAAAGGTCAAGGGCAGAATTAAAAGGAGTGCAAGAGGAGTCACTAAAGAGAGACGAGAATAATAGAAAAGCAAAAGAAGAAAAATCCAAGGTGTTTCATGGAAGCCATGGGATGAAAATTCAAAGGAAGGGGTAGGAAGTATCAAATGCTGCAGAGAAATCAAGAAGAATGAAGCCTGAGAAAGTCCTGTTAACTTTGATTATAGAGACAGTAATGGATATTTCTGAAAGAACTATTTCAGTAGATTGATGAAGGTAGAAGAAAGAATGCAAGCAGTGGGAAGAGTGAGTATTGGAAGAAGTAGCAGCAGGAAGTGTACATAAGCTAAGCAACAAATGGAAAGGGAGTCAAGGAGGAGGTTTGGAAAGGGAAGAAAATAAGGGTCACCTGAACATATTTTTATGCAGAGAAGTCAGTGGAGGGAGAATCATTTTGCAAGAAAGAGGAGGGACAGGGGCAGCTAGGTGGCGCAGTGGATAGAACTCTGGCCTTGGAGTCAGGAGGACCTGAGTTCAAATGTGACTTCAGACACCTGACATTTACTAGCTGTGTGACCCTGGGCAAGTCACTTAACCCTGACTGCCTCACCAAAAAAAAGAAGGCAAAAAAAAAGAGGAGGGATAAATTAATGTACTGAAGTTCCATAGGAGAGGAGAAAAGATGGATTTACAACCTTGTGCAGGTAAGTAAACCTTGGAAAAGAAAAGTGATACCAAGAAGATGAGTGAAGAAAATGTAATGGTGAAATGGAGAGAAAGAAATTGAAGGAGTTCATATTAGATGGTCTGCCTCTTCTCTAAACAGGAGGCCAAATCATCCATCAACTCAAATTAAAAGAACAGGGTGAGGCATGGAGTAAAGTAACTCTCTCTCAACTGCTCCTATTACTACAAATCACTTATATCAACCTCTCCTACTAATAATTTCCCCAAAAATTAAGACATATCTATTTGCAGTTATACCTTAGTCTCCCTATGTCCCCACATGTGTTAGGTTTTATGTGAATGTGTTTAAATTGGTTTCAGACAACAGTCAATCAATAAACATTAAGTGTTAACTATATGCCAGGCACTTTACCAAGCACTGAGAATATAAAGGCAAAATCAGGTCTTTGCCCTCAAGAAGCTCATGGTTGGAAGAGGGAGAAGGGAAGACGCACCCCCCCCAACACACACACACACACACAATGAAGATACATATAGTATATATGTTAGGGAATCTCAGAGAAAAGGCACTTGGAGGGATGAAAAAGAGGTGAGAAAACAACACTGGGAAATGTCTCCTGAAGAAAGTGGGATCTGAGCAGAGTTCTGAAGGAAACAAAGAGGTGGAGGTAAGCAGGAAAAGCATTTCAGGCATGGAGGAATATGGAGATGAGGCATCATTTTCAAAGAACAACAAGGCAGCCAGTGTCACTGGATCATAGAGTACACAGAAGGAAGCAATGTATAAGAAAACCAGAACAGTAGGAAGGGGGAAATTTATGTAAAATAAGAAGTCACTCTCTTAAAAAATAATAATAATTCAATGTAGACAGAGCTACCATACCTGCAGGCTGGACAGCCTCCAACAACTACTATGGCACTGGAGGGCTGGAACACAGCTTGTGATGGAATATTGTAGGATCCGGACCGACCTGTCAGGAACAAGCATCACATCCAGGGAAAGGGAAAGGGGAAAAAAAAATGAATATTTCATAAAATTCAATCGTAAAAGACCAAAAAAATAAATCTGCCTTACCTTTATTTGGGGGAGGAAAAAAAAGTAAAAATGGTAGTTTCTAAAGAAAGATGTCTCACAATAGGCATATTGTACAGTATCTCACTAATAACAAATAAATAAACAAAACAACAGATGGAAATCACAGGGCTTTGTATAACATTCATCACCACGCCTGAAGATAGATGAGTTTAAGTCTGTGATAACATATAATTTCAAGGCAAAGAACTTAAAATATGTTGGTAATAATTTAGATTTGTATCTTGCTTTAAGATATATGAAGCAGCTTTCCTCACAATTCTGGAATAGATGGAGCAAAAATCATTACACTAATTAGTGCCTAATTAGCAAAAAAAGTATTACCTCAAGTTTCAGGTGCACTCCAGCCTGTGCATCTGAGCCAGTAACAGGCTTCTTTTGAGCTGGTTAACTCACTTTTTAAAGTGTATCCAGATTAGTGCTGCAGCATAACTGACTCCCTAGGAACTACTTTTAAAAGGTTCACTTTAGCTAGATTCAAAGACTATTTATCACAATTTTAACCAGTAGACTAATGTTTATCTTACATTTGCATTCAAATAGTGACAAGATGTGTCAGTACAGCTTACCAGTTTGACTTCAGGTTCACTTTTCAGGTTAAACAGTAACCCAAGTAGTAAAAACAAGGTGAAGAAAGAGGAAGACAGCCACCTCCAAAAGGGCACTCTTTCAAGCCATGGACTGACACTACACTAACAATTTCACTATCTAGCTCTCTCCTTAGAGGGCTTGAAAGGGAACCATAAATACAACTAAAATCTCCAGGCACAGTAAAGGGAGGCTGAAAGTTAAATAGTCTTATAGAGAGTATATGCGAGAAAAGGACAAGTATTTATTTCCCCATCACCACACAGAGACAGAACCAAAATTTAGAAACCCTGGATTCAGTAATACAACTATGCTGAAACTACAAACCCAACACTCAAATAAAGCTAGCATGTTTTCTAATCCTTTAAAATAGTTACCATATTAAGCAAAGCTTTTACTAAAGCCCTACTCTGAGTGTGGCATGGGTAGTGACCTTGGGTTGTCTAAGGCTGCCAGGAGAGCACAAGCTCTGTCTGGCTGGAAAGGCTGGGTTAACAGACTGTCCTCGAAGGAACAGCCCAGCTAAGTTTGGAAAGGCTTGTCACCAGAAGGTTGGCCACCAGGTGAATTTTTTTTCCAGCCACAGCAACTTATAAAGGCCATCAACTACAAGAGGGCATAAAGATGAAATCTGCTGTTAGCGGAACAAGTACCCACATGAAAGATATTAGGGAACCTTGTACTTGTCGAACGCCAGCTCTCAACGAAACCACACAGATCAGAAACAATACAAATACTAACTAAAATCCCCAGAAGCCACAATTTTATTAATATTCTGGTCCCCAGAAGCCAATAAAACTTGCTCCAAACAATTTCACCCTCCTCTCCACCAAACAGACTTCTGGAGTTGAAAAGGAAGATGAGAATTGATTTGGGCTTCTCTCCTTTTCTAAGGAGAGAAGTGGGAGTAAACTGGTAGCAGTGAGAACAAATAAGGGGGATAAACCACAACCTGGATCTGTCCCTTACAGAGTTCACCATACAGGAGGAGTTCTTTCTTCCAAGAGCTCCAGAGCATATTAACTCCCAGTCCCAGAAACAAAGAGGAAAGGAAAACAGAAGGCACAGGCCAAAGCCACACTAAGGAAATACTTGTTAACTCTAATCTTACTCCAAGTGTTTCAAAAGTGAAACACCTCACGGTAGGCCCAAGTACCCAGATTGGTTTCTCAATATTTCTTTAGAACTGTTATGAATAATTCCTTTACTGGCAACAGAAGCAGATATTCTACAAGCCTGTGGTGTTATTCACACTTGCTAATAAATAATTCCCACTTGAAACAAGTGACTTCAGCAACCCAGAAGTCTTGTTACTAGCCCAGAATGAGGTCTGCAATCCTTAACCAACTTAAACTGTCTTGCCACCTCATAATACATAGAAGCGGGCACACTACAAACCAAAAATAAGATAGCTCTGATGGGATTAGAGTGCATTGTAGGCACTAGCGACTGGGCAGCAGCTAGCTACCCAGTAATAAGGGGCATAATTCCAAGGGTTTGTTTGTACCATCCCCACAAGGTTTCAAAGTTTTTCTTCCCTAAACAGCCTGTCCCCTGGCGTCCTGGAAAGCTTCCAGGCAAGGAGTTCTGGCCTCAGGCACCCAGGCTGCCTGCAGGTCTTGCAGACAGAAGGGACAAATGCAGCTCGGAGGCAGAGAGGACTAGCAACTCCAGATGCATCAAAAGAGGAAACTTTGAAGCCTGAGTATCTCCGAAGGGAAGAAGAAAAGAAGGGTTGAAGTTAACATGAAAAAAAAACCAAAAAACAAATTTCCTGAGTCCCTGTGGGTCTCAACAGACGCCCCCCCAACCCCGGTATAAAATAAATCACATCCTTCTCCCAAAGGCCCCCTACACTCTCATCCCCGACACCCACCTGTGACCCCACCCACTCTTAAGAAGTGGGGGACGGATGGGATTCGTGGATCGCAAACTTTGCTGCCCCGCACCCAGAGCCTGGGGCTGCATCCCTAGCACTGTAGGAAAAGGGACCCACCTGCAACGCTGTACGGGTAGGGCGGCGGGGGCTGGAAGCCGGGCTGGAAGCCGGGTTGGAAGCCCGGCTGGAGCCCGGGCTGGGCTGGGGCGACCGGGATGGCCCCGTAGTTGTGTCGCCCGTAAGCGTAGTCGCCCTGGCCGGCCTCCGGGTTGTAGGCAGGTGGTCGATCCTGCAGCAGAGGCTTATTATCCATGGGGGGGCGAGGGGGGGGGGGGGGGAATGAAGGGGGACAAAAAAGTGCAGGAGCGGACAGCGAGCCCCTCAGCTGCTGCTGCTTCCTCCTCTTCCTCTTCCTCCTCCTCCTTCTCCTCCTGGGTTCGAACCTCTCAACTTCGCGGCGGCCAGAGGTTGCAGCGAAGGGAAAGCCCGGACACAACTCCCCCCGCCCCCTGCCCCCGGGCCAGAAGGGGGATTCCCTCCTCCCGGTCTTCCGTCACCCTCCCCGCAGCGAAGCGGCGCTGCCGGAGGCAAAGTCGAGCGTCTAGGCAGGCACGCGCGCAGGGGCAGGCGTGGCGCGCGGGGCGCGGGGGCTGGGGAGGAGCGGGCGGAAAGGACCCGAGCCCTTCGAACTCCAGAAGCAGGAGGTGAGGGGGGTTCGGAGAGGAGGGGGAGTGGCGCGCGCGAGCGCGAGCGCGTGCTCTCCCTCTCGCAGGCTGGGCTGGGCAGAGCTGGAGCGCGCCCGAGGCACTCGCTCCCACCCCTCCCACCCCGAGCCAAAGTGCTCGGGCTGCCTCTACAGCTCCCGCTTCCCAGGCGGGTCACAAGACTGGGGGTCACGTGGCGCTGCTCCCCGGCGCGGCGACTCGCCCGCCGAAGCGGGGGGAGGGGGAAAAGGGGCGGGAGCAAATGAGAAGAGTCTTAAAGGAGCCGCGCCCTCGACCAGCCACTTGCTCTTCCTTCCCTCCACCTGTTGGGTCGGCCTGTTTTGGGAGTGGGGCTGCGGGGGTAGGGTTGGTCTTCTCCCTCCTCTCCCCTCCAGACCAAACGTAGCTGACCCTTGCCCCAGACCGCTGGAAAGGCTCCCGCGCTCACCTTTTCCCGCGGGACCCACTGAGCCCTTGATTCAGTTCAAACCCCAGATTACCCGCCCGTCCCCCTTCTTCCTTCTTGGGTGATCCTCGGCCTGGGGGGTCCCCAGACACGCCCCCCCAACTATGCACGTATACTGGCATCAAACACTGCACACAGTGCGGGGCACCCCCAGGCCAGCAGGGAGGCTGCCTCCCCATTCTGGTCCCCACACACCCCACGTGGAGCCCCCTCCTGGAGGGGCTCCATTCCATTCTCTCCCCCCACGTACACAATTACATCCCCAGGCCTGGGGTGAGGCTGCCTCCCTCAAGGGCCGCATGCATGCAGCCCACCCCCGAGCTAGACCTGGCATCTCTCTCTCTCTCTCTCACACACACACACACACACACACACACACACACACACACACAGGAGCACAGACATGCACAGTCCCACACACAGTCATGTTCCCAGGCCCCCCTCAAGGGCCGCATACATGCAACGCACCCCCAACCTAGACCTGGCATCTCTCTCTCTCACACACACACACACACACACAAGCACAGACATGCATACCCCCACACACAATCACATTCCCAGGCCAGGGCAGAGGATGTCTGGGAGGCCCGTCTCACCCCATACACATACACATACAAACAACCCACGTGGTGGCTGACTCCCAGTGGGGTTCCGTTCCGTCCCCACATATAATCACATTCCTAGGCCTGTGGTGAAGCAGCCTGAGGGTCCCCATAAAGACACAATACCTAAACACACACTACAACCTACAATACACAAAACCACACACCCCCAGAGTCCCCGTTCTTACATCTTACAAGTATACCAAAAAAAAAAAAATTAGTGGTTGACTCCCAATCACCATTCCCTCATCTACCTCTCCACATTACACCCACAATTAAACTTTAGAGCCACCCCTCCCCCAGTCTTCATTCCCACCCACCCCACACATAATATGCCCAGGGTCTGTCAGGCTGTCTCTCTGGAATTCCACCTTTTGTTCACCCCAGACGTGGGTTAGTACAAATGCATGCTTCACACAACCCCAGAGCTGTGTCAAGGCTGACTCCTAGAAGGCCCTCCTTCCCAGATACTTATACTTCAAACACACCTTCCACTTCTCACTCCTATAGAATTCCACCCCAAACACCATACACACATATTACAATACCACACCCCCACACCCCATCCCAGGGCTGTGGCAAGCTTGAAACCTACACCCATACAGACCTCATGTGGTGGCTGCCTTTCAAAGGGTCTCCATTCTGGCTACACACCCAGTAGGAAGGCTGGCTCCCAGAGAAGCGCCCACACACACACATCCCACAGCCCCTGACTTGTGCTGAGGCTGAATCCCCAGAGTCTCCATTCCTGTACACCCCACACCCCATAAACACCAAACCACCAGCCTAGACCTGCAGCAAGCCTACCTTCCCTAAGATACTCCATCTCACATCTCATACAGAGTTAAGACTACTAGCTCTAGTCAAAGGATCTTAGTTCATATTCCCCTAGATGCCTGTAAATGTGTGACCTTGGGCAAATCACCTGCCTAGGCCTCAATTGCATCATCTGTAAAAATGAAGGGGATGAATGAGATGGACCCTGAGGTTTCTTCCAACTCTAAATCTATGATTCATAAAATACTAAGTATCCTTGCAAATGTATACACACACACACACACACACACACACACACACACACTCCATAAACTATCACACCATTGGCCCCAGAGCCACATGTAAACAGGTACACACAGTCCAACACCCACGAACCCACACTGGCAGCACACATCCCATCCCATAGACTGTCCACTCTCTCATACAAACTTAATCACAAACACAGACAATTGTCCTCATCCCTGAGATAGGGATAAATAGACAGGTGAAGGCAGCTCATTGCAGAAGGTCCTGGAAGGATCTGGTCCCACTGACTGTGAGCCCCAGGGGCTCCAAGGCTTTGCAAGAAACAACCCCTCTTAGTCCAAAAGCAAAATTAAACTCTAGCTGAGAGAAGGGAAGGAAAATCTCTGGTTTCCAGGTTGGAGGTGGAGGCAGCACTCTTCCCCCGGCTTCAAGAATTGGCAGGCTCCCTCTGCACTGAGGCCTTGAACTGGGAGACAAGCAGCTGAGTGAAAAGTTGCTGCAACCTAGCCAGTCCTGGAACTCCTGCAGATGCTCGACACTGTGTGTTTCCTTCCTTCCCTCCAATTCTACAACCTCCCACCCACCCCTCTCCACCCCCGTCCTGTCCTCAGGGTTTATCTTCTGTTTAGTTTTTAAACCCTTTCACAACCTGGTCCCAGACTATGTTTGGAACATTGCTGAATTCTATACATTGTCCCTCACTCCAAACTGGCCTGTTCTATGTTTCTCACGAGAGGCATCTTGAACACTGCCTTCTACTGGAAGCCTTCCCAAATTCTAGTGCCCTCTCTCCCAAAGGACTTTGCATTTTAACTACTTTGTATTTAGTTTCATTATATTTCTCTATGTGCTTATATATGTCTTTGTTGACATCCCAACTAGAACATAAACTACTTGAGAGGAGGGACTGTTTATTCTTGTTATTGATCTGCCCAGGACCCAGCACATTTATTAAGCACATCGTGGGGTACCTAACAAATGCTTATTGATTGATTGGTACACCAGTGGCTCCAGTGACATTGAGCAGCTAGGTGGTACAGCAGATAGAGTATCAGGCCTCGAATCAGGAAGACCTAAGTTCAAATTCAGTCTCAGACAATTACTAGCTTGGTGACTTTGGTCAAGTCACTTAACCCTGCTTGCTTCAGTTCCTCATCTGTAAAATGAGCTGGAGAAAGAAAAACCACTCCAGTATCTTTGCCAAGACAGCCCCACTTAAGGTTAGGAAGAGTGGGACACAACTGAAATGACTGAACAGCAACAAAGCTTCACTGACTTACTGCTGGAGATGGAAGGAATTTGATTCTGGAGCTGCCCCCAAGAGTCAGGCTGAAGTGAGGGAAACAGATGTAAGCTACAAAGAAAATTCATCATCATGCTCATGGAAACAGGTTTGTCCCTTTGCAAGGTAGTTGTCTGTCACCTAGCTTTCCAAACCCAAACGGGAAATTGTAATTTAACCTCTCCAATTTACTCCTCTACAAAATGAGGAGTTTAGACTGTTTGAACTGTAACGTTCCTTCTGTCACTAAATCTCAGCTCCTGTGCCAGCCACCTTCTCTCTTTTTGTGTGCTGATTTTTGCTAAGGTCATCTAGTCCAACTCCTTCATTTTACAGATGAGAGGAGTAAGGCCCAAGGATGTTAAGTGACTTGCCCAAGGTCACACAGGTAGTATCAGAGGAATGACTTCAACTCAGCCTCTCTGAATTCAGAGCCAGTGTAATTTCTGCTGCGCCAAAATTTCTCCCCTGGCATTTCGATACCTTTTACAAAACACCCAGAATTATGGTAATGGAAGAGCCAGAGCTAAAACTTGGTACAGTAAGGACTTCCGTATAAAAGAACATTACCATCCCTCCAAATACCCAGCATTATCCTTGACTCTTCACTCTCTTTCACACTACTTATCTCAGTAGCTGTCAAAAAAGCAGTTGACTAAATCCAAACTTCACAGAAAACAAACCCCCTTAATAAAAGGATTTGTTCTATAAAACTTAGATTCAGTCAAAGGGCCCCATCCAAAAACCAAGGAGGCCACATGTGGCCTGGAGATTACAGGTTCTCCACCCCTGTCTGGATCATTGCAATAACCCTCTAATTAGTCTCTCTGCCTCTAGTCTCTCCCCTGTCTAATCCATCCAACAGAGATCTGCCAATGATTTTCCCAAAGTACAAAATTGACTGTTACTCCTCTGCTCAGTAAACCCCAAAGGCTACTTATTGTCTCTAGGATCAAATAGAAGTTTCTCTGTTTGACCTATAAAACCCCCGACCACCTCACTCCAATATACCTTTCCAACTTCATTATTCATCATTCCCCTTCCCATATTCTATAGTCCAACCAAACGGGCCTTCTTCCTATGTCTCACATTTTATCTCCATTTTACACCAGCCATGCATGCACTCCCACTTCTCTTCTCCCTCTAAGAATACTTTGTTTCCTTCAAAACTCTACTGGAATGCCTCTTTTGAGTATCATGAAGCTATTCCTGATCTTCCCCAAGTTTTAGTGCTAGGTGCTGGCACATAGTAGGTGATTAATAAATGATTGACACTTAATCATTGGTTGACAATATAATGGAAAGAGTATGGCATTTGAAGTCAGTGCACAT